AAGGAAGGAAGGAAGGAAGGAAGGAAGGAAGGAAGGAAGATTTCTGATGCTCCCTGCCAGCGTCCCACAGTCAATTTTATTTATTTATTTATTTATGTTTCAAATTTGTCACTACCCATCTCACTGTGGAGTGACTCTGGGCAGTTTATAGTAAAAATAGAATAAAACATTAATTAAAATAGATAAATATTGATTAATTAAAATATACTAAACTTCCTTTATAATACTTCCAAGAGGCAGATGTTAATTAGGTGTTAATAAACTCAGGGAGCATCATCAAGGTGCCAGACATCCCCAGGGTTGGTTGTAACTTTCCTCACCCCATGGAAGTTGGCAGAGCCAAGTCTTCAATTCCCACCAAAAAATTGGGAGACTAGGGCCTGCCTTACCTCTGGGGGGAGAGTATTCCATAGGGCAGGGCAACAGCAAAGAAGGCTCTCCTCCTAGGATCAGCCAGTTGACATTGTCTCACTGACGGGATCCACAATATGCCTTTTCTGCTGGACTGGGTGGGATGGGTTGATGAAATGGGGGTGAGACGGTCCCTCAGGTAACCTGGCATAATGGGGAAGCCAGCAGCAAGTCATAGGTTGCTCACATTCCCACTGCTTTTTTGCCGGTGGTCATTATGTTTCTCTGTTTAGGTAAGGAAATATCTCTGAAATGATGACCCAACATGTCTTGGGTTGTCTAGTCTATATAATCAATATCAATATCATCTATCTATCATCTATCTTTGTAAATCAAATTAGTACAAACTGTATGAAAGTACAAACTAGGATTAAAAAGGTTAGAAAGCACTACCTTCATTGAAAGGAGGGTACTTTTGGTGTATGAAGTTGAAAATCCAAGTCCCTCAGTTAAGAAACCTTAATCAATACATGTGATATTGATATTTCCATCATACAATATACAATATACCCCTTTTATAGTTAGAGCAGAATTATATTAATTCTAGTGCTGAGATTTAGGGGGCAGGAAGTATTGTATAGTAACAAAACAAAACACAAACTTTATTTCTGCTTTGTGAAGTTGAATAGGCTTGCGAATGTACAATATTTTACCTATCCATTAAATATTCCTTTGAAGCCTGTGATAGAAAGTTCTCATTAACCTAAATATGGGATATGAATTCCAATACAGTCATTACATATGGAAATAACCCTCCTAAGATTCATAGATAAAACAAAATTCATTCTTTGGGTCAATACAGTTTATGCATATAGAGAATATTTAAGTGCTTCAAAGTAGTTCCACTCTGAAAAGTGACTGTAATAATTATACACATTTACCATCACCTCTGCTCTTTTAAAAGTTTTCTGACTTGATATACTTTATAAATGTTTGAATATGTGTGGGTGTGTGTGAGAGAGTGAATACACACACACACACACACACACTATATATATTCTCACTTCTTAATGTTGCATACTCAGCAAAACCTAAGTTAACATAAGGCCAAATCATTCTTCTCTTGATATACTTTATAAATGTTTGAATATGTGTGGGTGTGTGTGAGAGAGTGAATACACACACACACACACACACACTATATATATTCTCACTTCTTAATGTTGCATACTCAGCAAAACCTAAGTTAACATAAGGCCAAATCATTCTTCTCCATCTTCAGAAGTTCCTAGCAAAAAGAGGGACACAAATTTTACTTGTATATAGTCCCAAGTAGACCTAAGAACAGTGATAGGTTAAGAAATTGCTCTGAAAAAGATCTTCTTTCAGCATTATTGAAATTAAATGTCACAATGCACTTAGCTAACTTCATTGACTTGAGAGGCTTCAGACATAGATGCCACTATAAATGTATTTTTTTTAGAATGAGGACTGATAGACACAGGCTTTTTAGGGTAATTCAGGTGAAGTCCAAATAGGTGGAGCATAAAGATCAGGGTGAGCAATGCTTGAGAGGTCAGGGCCTCAACTCAGCCTTCTGACCTTCTGAAACTCCTTCTGAAGGAGATCATTTGATTTTTAATGACTTCTTTTCAATATAGTTGTATGCTGCCCAGATCATAAAACTCTGGACAGGTCACAATAGTCATTTGGTGCTGTATCATAATTGAAAAGGGAATGATCCTAATCTCTCTAGCTGTTCCTTCTCATGTTAAGAGTAGAGATGAGAGTGGAAGCCTCCTAGAGGCTTTATACCATCTGAACCCCTTCTCAAGAATGGGCTGGCCCACACTGATATATATTAACAAATCCTAAATATTTCTTAAGAAACTTTTCTTCTTTTGCTCAACAGTAATTGTAGAAGCCCCCAGTTATGAATTGACACTGCAGTATGTGCATGAGGATTATAAATCTTCATTTGACTACTGAACATCCTACGCGCTTCTCCAAAGCTACTTTTTTTTTCTACAAATAAAATTTTATGGGAGGGGGCAGATGTAAATCTCTTCCCCGGTGCAGATTCTGATGCAGATTGATTCAATGGTAAACCTCAATTACAGAAGTATAGGAACCCATTCATGTATTTCTAAGCCAATACCAAATCAAATTTGGGTTTACATGTGGATAAAACTAGAGCCAAGGTTTATCCCTAATAAGGATGTGCAGCACTTCAGAAACATTTTGGAAAAAGTGCAAGCGAACACATTATGCACCTGTTCGCAAGTTCATAAAGCAGCATGTCATTTCCTGAGATCACACAGCTGTCCCTTGAAGAAAATGAAGTTCTGCTACTAAAACAGTAACTATAAAGTGCCTGGATAATATACTATCTTGGAATCATATGTGAACAATTGCTTTGGTGGATGGGTAATCATAAATGACTGTAATTATTAAAAATGTCAGGTTCTGATTTTAGTAAATGTCACACTACCAGTTTTCCACAGCAATGAAGCATCTCTTAACTGGGGTGGTTGTGATGTACTCTTGCTGCAATGAGTAAAAATAAGATACAGAAGAATTATTGGTACCTGCCTGTATGAGTTATTATTTAGTGTCATGGATCTGCTTCTAACATCAGAAGACAGAATATTACTTTGAATAGGTTATAAAAATATTAGTGCCCAACCCTCTGCTTTTGTAGATATAATTAAATATTCTGAATCTGGGTTGCAGAAATCTGAAGGACCACCAGGTAACAGCACGTAAGTAGAGAAAACTTTTGCTGTGACCTAGTTGTTTGAAGCCCATGTCTTTCATTCTCTATAAACTGTAGATTTTGTATAAATTGCGCAATATTAATACAGATCAATTTCCTTCAGGTTCCAAGATTCAAGGAGACTTATTCTCTCTGTTCAATTCCCCCACCCCACTGCAAAAAAGCTTACAATACCCATTTATTTTGGGTATCTATTTTCCTTATCTCCTTCAGATACAAAATGACAGACTGTGGACCATGAACAAGGTCTTCACTCTTGTTAGCCTTCCGATATCAACTAAAGGGAAGCTAGGAAAATGTGAAACAAAACAGCTTTGGGTTGGATTGAAGACAATTCCCAAAGAGTTAGAGTTTAATATCTAGATAGGTGGTAGAACCTGGGGGAGGGGGGAAATCTAAACTAAGCAGAGAATGCTTCAATAGGGGCTTGGAGAAGTATTTTATTCTTTCTAGTCTTTCATCATTTGTTTTTCAGACTAGACAATAATGCCCATTTGCTGCTTGGGGTGGGAGTGGGGAGGTTATATGACATCCTGTTTAAAATTCATTTTCCTAATTTCTCCCCCCCCCCAACCCATAGAAAAATGGTTAATAAAGCTAGACATTTGAATCCTTTGTGCATTTATAAATATTTCTCTCATAGAAAATAATACAAACCAAACTCTCTACTGTTGCAGTATAAATCTGTTTATTATATATAATGAAGATGTTATTTCCTTTTATGCATTGATATAAATGCCATTAACCAAATTTGAAAAGTTGTCATCCTAAATATTCATTGGAAAATATGTTTCTTTCAATTCTTTCGATTACTTTTATGAAGACATAAAAATACTGCATGATTACTTACATTAATGTAACTTCCAGCAAAAACCTACTTTTAGAAAAAGTGGAATATATATTTAAATATATATGTTTAAATTTATTAAAATTCTTAATTTAAATTTGGAATATTCACAGCCAAAGAAACATATTCTGGTGATGCCAATGTTATACAGAGTCACTCTTCAGAGTACATCTACACTTTGCACATTCATCATGCAGACTGAAGATTAAATATTTCATACAGTTATATGCTTAGATATATGTGAACAGTACAACACACAAACAACACAGACAGCACAAACTTCACTCTTGCACTAAAAAAAGTAACAAAAAGAAGTACACTCACAGATAGAAAACTTGTTGCTGTTGTCTTTCCCTGGAAACAATTTAAATCCTCTAGATTTAAAATCTATGGCCTTTTTCACTAGTTAAGAAAACAAACAAAAACACGTATCAGATAAAGCAATCTAAGAAGACTTCATTTCAATTGACAGTTCTTTTAATCATGGAAGTGCAAATTAAAAGTACTTTCATTCCAATAGCATTATGGACCCAAAAGACTTGACAAGAATATATATTTTTACACAAAAGGCAAATATTTATAAGGTTTATATATAGTTATTGCAAAGATATAGAGGAAAGGAGAAAAACACATATTTTCCTGAAATGAATATACATTGTGCCTTTTATGCAAAATATTAAAATGAACTTAAATATTTTCTCATGTGCCATAACTGGAATTGTGCAACTTCATTGTGTAGTCATGAAGCCTGGAAAACTGTGAATTTAAGGATGGGCACAATAGGCTTTCCAACCCTTTTCTTATTTAATTGGTATTTATTTCCCTTATTAATGGGGACCATAATTTTATCCTATTTTCCCTAGAACTTTTCTGTGACATCTTATATCTGTTATGGCATTTTAAAGCACAAAGTTGGTACTTCACCCATCCTGTAGTACAATTTCACATGGACTAAAAATTCTATCCATGAGGATATCTGATAAGACCCTTGATTATCACCAAAGTGTTTTCCAACAATAGTTCAGTAAGCCATCATACTGAATGAGAAAATATTATATAGACTTGTTTTTCCCATCTCATTTAATTATAGACTTAAGTAACTTGGTGATTTAATGTAACTAGGAAAAGAGAATCACAGCATTACAACAGTGTCCATACATTTGGGATGGATAGATAACCTTCTAGCAATCTATCAATACACAATCAGCCACTATATGCAATGCCAACAGATTCAATCACCAGGATAGTATACCTGAGTTTTTAACAAAGTGAAAGAGACTAATGATATAATGAAATATTGTTTGATGCACTGTTGGATTGCAACTTAGTGGATATATGCAAATTAGCCAAATATGGAATATTGAACGCATGGTGAAAAGCAATCTGAGGCCATGGTTAGAATATTTGAAGTTTATATCCAATCAAAATATTTTCCCTTTCATTTTTAATCTACCAAGCATAGCCCTGCACTCCTAATAACAATTCCTATTATTGTTCTTCTGCATATTATATAGTTACAATGATCTCATTTCTATATAGCTATTCATACATAGGGCGGCCATATGGAAAAGTGCACTAGACATCTTTAGTATAACATCCCTTTGACTTTTTCAGCTGGAATTCCTGCTTCTACACAAATATGAAAGATTCAGAAATCTGGCATTTTTTTTCTTCCTATGAATGCTTCAGAAAGAATGTTTACGACCCATCTTGAACTCTAGCTAACACATCCTCACAAATCATTTCTAGATTTCCATCTCTCCAAAAAGCGCTGTGTTTCATTCCGAGATAAAAAAAAATGTATACACAGATCAATTTTATATCCTTCAAAAAAGGGAAAATCATAATTATTTGCTTTTTTGACCAACAGTCCTAGAATGAATCCTAGATGTAATGTAAATATCACAGTCCAAGTTACTGAGCATTTTTATGTCTGCATCACTACTAGATTTCACCTAAATTCTGACCAAGCAAAATACACAACTCTGTTATAGTTTCTCACCATTTCCTCCTACCAAAACTTCTTCTTGTAGCATCTTTTCTGACAAACATATCTAGGGGTCCTGAATTTTCCATAACTTTTTTCTAAAGTGAGTTTGCCAATAAATGAATAATTTTAAAATGGATTTCTGGGCATTCATATTAACTATGCAGTGCATTAGGTAATGATAATCAATATATTATATTATTTAATAATAATATTGGAAACATGGTTCTTTCCATTATTTAAATGATCATTAAAAAAAAAGCTTAAAATATTAATTAGCTATCTGCTTTCAGATCATTTATTTTATATATTTATGCTGCATTTTGGCCAAAGAATGAGATTCCATTTTCTTGTTTTTTCCCCCCCTATTTTATTTTAGTGTACTACCCCAGAAGCAGTAGTGAACATAAATTAAAGGAGAGAAAGGAATCAGAATGCATGAAGTACAAGATAAGACAATTGAATGTGAATAGGAGAAACATGTGGAAGTCTGAGACAAGAGGCGGCTTTTCAAGGATGTTTCAGTTCAGGAATCCATTTTGTATTTTTCCCATTTTTCTTTTCCTCCAACTACCAAAATCTTGATCTTCCTAGGAGAGGATTGTTGTATTTAATAATAATAATGATAATAGGGGGACGCGGTGGCGCAGCGGCTTAATGACGCTGAAAATTGCCAGCCAGAAATGGTCGACGCTTCAGCGGTTCAAGTCTAGCCTTCGTGTTAAACAGGGTGAGCTCCTGTTTCCTCCCCAGTTCCTGTCAACCCAACAGGTCGAA